CAAAGATGTTAAATAACTCATTCAAAGGTAATCAGCTGGAAACAGTTGCGGGTGGGATACAAAGCCAGCTTATATTGAAAAATTTCAAGGTTGCTGAAATCCATAAACGACTGCTATGATTCAACAGCGGAAGCCTCCCCACAGACCCCAGGGCGATGCTCGATTGCCTGTGGAGCAGTCCACACTCTGGGTGGCGTCTCTCTCTCTCGCTGGGGCCAGGGTCCTGGGCCCCAAGGCCTTCTGGGAGGGGCAGGGACCAACTCCAGGCAGGAAAAGGCAAGATTAGGAGAGAAAGTCAAGACCATACACTTTATGCATTTATTATTTTAAAAGATTTCATTTATTTATTTTTCAAGAGGGGGAAGGGAGGGAGAAAGAGAGGGAGAGAAACAGGGATGTGCAAGAGGTACATCGATTGGTTGCCTCTTGTGCACCCCCAGCTAAGGACCTGGCCCACAGCTCAGGCCTGTGCTCTCACTGGGAATCGAACTGGACACTTTTCGTGCACAGGCCATCACTCAATCCGCTGAGCCATACTAGCCATGGCTTATTTATTTATTATTATTTTAAATGCTTTTTTAAAAAAGGTTTTATTTAGTTTTAGAGAGAGGAAAAAGGAGGGAGAGGGAGAGAAAACTTACAACTGTTGTGAGGGAGAAACATCAATTGGTCACCTGTCGTACCTGCCCCAACTGCAGACTGAACCTGCAACCCAGGTATGTGCCCTGACCTGGAATTGAACTGGTGACCCTTCACTTTGCAGGATGACGCTGAACCAACTGAGCCACATGGGTCAGGGCTCAAGACCATACACTTCAGAATTCTGGAGAATCAGGTAACAGTCCCATGGGCCAAACGTATCTGAGATGGTCTCTAAATGAATGCCTCGGTCTTGTCTCAGCCCTACACCCCTCTGGACCCCAGGGACTTACCTTGCTCCTACAGGTATGATTAGTCTGTGCCCACTTCTCCGTGGCATCCAAACTTCCCTTCCGTGTCTTGTGAATGAGAAAGGGACTATGTAGCAAACCTGAGGACTCAGGGTGCTATCTGGCAGAACCAGCAAGCCCAGGGACCAAAAGTGACTACACAGGATGGTCTGGCCAGAGACCCTAACCGGGCAGACCACGGCAGGTAGTCATGTTCCAGGCCTATAGCTTCCTGCACAAAGGCCACTCCTGACCTAAACTGAGCTCTGTCCATTATCCTTGGGCATCTAAGACATACCTTTGAAATGAAAAGGGTAATTTTCTCTTTTTAGTCCCCTCAAAACGGAAGTACAAGACCACAGAGCCCCTTGTGGTTATCTCGTTCCCACGTGCCATCTCTATGTGCCGACTGCTCCCGTACCCACCAAGGTAGTAAAAGAAGTATTTCTCCACTTTTTTTTTATCTACTTCCACAGACTTCCCTGCTTTGCTTTCTCTCACCTTCCTGATCTACCACCAGTGGATTTCATATAACCTTTCTTTTGGTTTTCTCCTTTGATTCTAACATATAAAATAAGCTGCAAAACTGCCATTTTTGGAACATTTTCTCCACCCTTTGACACCTTGTCACTGGGCATGTCCTCAACATTTGGCACCAAAAACTCAAATAAAGCTTTTTCATAACTGGACATTCTCTTGTGGGCAGTGTCGGTGAACCACCAGCTGCTAGTTCGGCCAGAGACTGCAGAGATCACCTGGCCCGGTCCCTTCCCTGTGCACCCGACGCATTGACCACAGTTAACGACAGAGCCCCTAGAACGTTTCCTCTTTGTTTCGGCAGGTTGCCTTACCACTAAACACTCATGTGAGTTATTGCTCTTCATTGCAAGATCCAGAAAAGAACCTTCGAACCATCGTGCGCATCCGCTGAGAAGCTCCATCGAACCTCGTCTTTCCTGCTTTCACCATCTGCAGCACCCCCTCTGTGGTACAGGCATGCAGACAGGCAGGGGCTTTGAGAGCAAAGTCATGCGTTTCTCTAATGCTGACAATAGCCACCACAGTTGCCTACCTGTCCCTCTGCTTCTTCACCTGGAACTCCCAGCACCTCTGCCATGTTCAAGGCCGGCATCCATCCATTTTGTCTGCCAGGCTCCGTATCAGTCTCACCCACTGGCGGTCAGAACTAAGCTGATTCTTTCACCTGTTGGCTGTCTCCTCTGAGACACCTCATGTGTGGAGAACAGCTTGCCGTGCAGAGAGGGGCCAAGACCTTCCCTCTCGGGACCCAAGCAGATGAGGGGTAGCAGCACTGACTTGCTAGGTCTGCCCTGGGGTCTCATGCCCTTACTCTCCATCGGGGACAGTGACCATCTGTGCTCTGGGGCTACCATGGGACAATGAGCAGAGAACAGGAGGGGAACCTGCAGGAAGCAGAGGAGGTCACTGCTCTTCTGCCACAGACCTAAGGAGCTCGCCAGGCTCCCACGTTGCTCACTCTCTTTGGGGGCCCTTGAGCCAAATATGCAGCCCATCTCTTGGGCTCCACCCTCTAGCCTCCCATCTACTTTTTAGGAACCAAACTCCTGTTTTGGAGAGCATTGTAGGTTCCCATAGCAATGGGCTTTTAACTGTTTCCACGGCAACCAACACCCAGACCATTTAGTTGCTAGTCAACTGACAGCTGTGAATGAATAGCATTCCGTTTAGAATTTGAGGGATAGGCCAGGGGATTCTCTTCCTAGAAAAAGACACCACCACCCAAAATGACTCAGTTCACCTGAAGATTCTTTTAGGCAGCATCGGTGGAAATCCAGCACCACTTTCAAACTCAGGTCTCACAACAGTGCCTATCCCATTCCCGCCCCCCCCCCACACACAAATGCACACGCACACACCCCTAAACCAAGTATCCTGGGACTTTAAATCTCCCAAGCCCTACTTCCCATTTCCAAAGGGCCCTTGGGAAAAACACCTGTTCCCGGCGACTACCACCATGGTGACGTTTCTCACACACAACCCTTTCGTCTGTGTCATTGCTCTTCCTGAGCACCACGATCCCATCCTCATACCAGCCCAGGCGTTTAGCCGGTATTTGCCTTTTAGATAATCTGATGTGCAAGGCCATTCCCAGATCCTCTTCCCTTCGCCTGCACCTCACCTAGGACCAGCCCCTCGTCCCATGTCTGTGGGTGTTTTCAGAGAACAGATTGTTTTATCAACCTCTGCAAAGTATAATGAAGATGAATTTGTTTCTTTTAAGAGGTCAACTAAGAGTTCAACACCAAAGAGGACTGGAACTTACTCCATGCTTTCTGATTTTTATTAGCCTGATCTGACTGAATGCCAGGCCTCTAACCTAGCCCTCTGCTAAACTGGGGACACTCGCTATTGGGCTCCCTCTGCTCTGGAAGCAGGGGTGCCTCTCAATTTTTTTGTGTGTGGTTGAGGTCTTGAATTTACGCAAGAAAGATGTGTCTAAGCCTCCGTGGCTTGCTCAGTGGACTAGAAATAATATGAGACTGTCACTGGAAAGAACATGACCTTTCTTACGCAGCCTAAGTTCAGTGCTTCTCGATGTTTTAATGACTCGGGGGGCGCCTGTGAACCGTCTCTACCGAAGACGACCTTTCAAACTAATCCCCCCCGCAGGAGCCCTGGCTAGCTCCCTGCTACAGGCTCCACGTAGCCTTACATTGGCTGGTAAACAGTTATAAGCTGTTGCGTTACCCTTCTGCTCTGATGGAAGGGCACACGCTAGCTGAACTGCTTCTCTTCCATCATTGCGCGCACACGAGGGGGACACGCAGGGCAGGCAGCTGTTAGCCTCAAAGGAGCTGGATGACATGAGGGGTCTTCTGGGGGCAGGGAGAGAGCAGACACGCATGAGAACGGAGCTTTTCCAGGCACCTCACACAGTTCTGTGCACAGAGACAGCCTCCTCCTTCAGAGGCGACGTACCACACATCAGATTGAATTTTGATTTTCCAGATGTTTCTGAATGAAGAACAATGTCTGTCTCCTAGAATAACTGCTAACATTCACTGGGTCTGTGCCATGTGCCAGGGGGCATGCTAAATGTTTTACGGGCATCATCTCATGTCATCCTCACAGCCCTGAGGATGACTGTTGTCATCCCTATTTAACCATAAGGAAACTGAAGCACCAGGCGGGTTAAGGAATTTATTTAAAGACTGCACTGGCAGTCCCATTTGCTGGGGAAGCCCGGATCCTGGCAGTCTGCAGCCAGAGCCCACAGAACCCTTCGAGATTTGTGCAAGTCTGATGTACCTAGGGCCCCTGAGGGGGAGACAGAGTGGGCCCTCCCTCTGGACACCATGTGATGGGGTGCACAAAGGACTCAGCTAAAGAGCACAGGTGGAGTGGCTCCGGGAAGTGACAAGTCAGTCTGAGCGATTGATAACTTTATTCCCCGTCCAGGGCTGTCCCCTGGTGGTCTTCCCGGGAAACGCCAGTGAAAGCAGTGGGGTGACAAGAACTGGGCCAAACGATGTTTGCTGTGTGAACAGCCTGACCAGAGAGCCTTTCAAAGTCATTACCTGACTCGGGGCTGCGGTCCCTGTGACTGGGTCAGAGCAGGCAGCAGGCAGAGACGTACATGCCTCATGGCTATACTTGCGCTCCAAAAGCAGGAAATTCTAAGACTTAATTAGTTAGCCATTACTTGCAACTTTGCATTTCATTTTTAAGCTTCTAGGTTTTCCTCGAGGTAGGTTCCCAAAAGACTTTGTGCTTCTTTCCAACTTGTAACCTTACTCCCCACTCCCAGCCTCAATTCCGTTCCCTCAACCTTTCAGGTATTCAGCTAGGCAGTGTTGGCTTTCTTGGCTTATTTCAAACACACTCAGTGGCATAAGATTATGCGAAATAAAGCAAAACAGGGCCATTTCGTATCAAATAGATAGGTCCGGTCTATCTGGGCAGCAAGGGGCGAGAAGGCCGTTTCTGGGAGGAGTGTCTTTACTGCATGCTGGGACCATGGGGCTGGGGAGCCACCCTTCAGGGATCTGGGGGACACACTCTGCAGAAAGCAGGTGGCCTGCACACAAATACAGGAGACTACCAAGACTTTTATTCAAAGGACTTTTCCAGGTGCATAAAGAAGTCACAAATTAATGTTAAACAAACAGACAAACTTCTGCGAATTAAGTGTTGCATTTAATGAAAACCACCTAAGACGGAAAAGAAGACAGGACATAACCGCAGAGAACCGGCCACCCAGAGTTGACGTTCTGCCGCAGACCACGCCCCCCTCCCCCAGAACCGCTGGGCACCGCTTCGGAGCACGTCATCATCACCACTGTCGGAGCCACGGAGCTGGAGGTGCTGTCAAAAGTCAGCAGGCTTGCTGGCCAGATGCAGCGAATGCAGTGAGGCACTTGGAGATGTGACAGACCAGCTGGAGGAACGTGGTTTGAAACCTCTCCTCCGCTACGAAGGCCAATAACCCCGAGGCAGGTTATCCCGTGTCCCTCAGCAGGTCCTGTCTGGCTGGACCCTCCTTATTCCAACAGCAGAAATCAATGAAGACAATTAAATTGACCCCTCCAGACTCTCTCTCTCCTTCCCTTCAACTCTTTTACAAGATACTACAAGGGCAGCAGTTCTGAGCTCTCAGGAAACGGGGTCTTGGTTGCGGTTGGAGGTCGAGAGGCATAAGACGTCAGCCTACAAATTCCTTTCATCTTATGGCACTGATTTCGTGTGGATTCGGTTTTTCCTCTTCTCCCTCTCTGGTCCCCAGATGGACATACTGGCATCAAACAGCTCTAGTTTTCCAGCTGAACTGGGATTTCCCAGCAGAAGAAACATTGGTTGTTGTCATCCCGAAGTTCCCACTTCACCACCAGTTTTATCTGAAGCAAGAGGAAAAGAAGCGGGAAACATAAAACTAGGACCTCGCCTCGACCCAGAGTTGATCTCACCACGAATCCTAGATGCACAAGGAAACAGACTGCCTGGTCCCTTGTGCTTCCGTCCTCCAACCGAGCCGCCAGGGAGGCTGCGAGGGATGTGGACAGGCCTGTGTCTTTGAACCTAGGACAGCGGGCCAGGCTCCGGCTACGCTGCGGTGTCGGCACCACACACTAACCAAGCTAACTTATCAGACAGGATTTCTGAAGCATCTTTTCCCATCTTAGGTCAATGGTACATACATGGAGCTTACGTGAAAGAGTGATTTTTCGTTTACACAATTTCTCTTGTATGTGGCAATCTGATCCAGCTTCTTCCAACTGTAACCACGAGGAGCAGGGGTTGTTAAGAATAAGAAACTTACTGAGAAGCCAGAAATGAAAATACCAAAGCACAAGGGATGTCTGCAGATGTTTACCGCTGTATGAATAATTTCAGGAACAACAACTTTTGTGCAACAACGTACAGTTTCAGTTAACTTCCTTAAACTGTTTTTCGATGATATATCTCATAAGAGATCTCTGATATACTGTGAGCTTTCCCTTCTAATTCTTAATAAATCACTGACACTTTGCCGGTCCTTCCCAATGTGGACAGCGGCTTGCTTGTTATTACGCCTCTTCCAGGCTCAGTGTTTCTTTACAACGTAGTACTTGAGGCACAGTGACACCCCAGGCCCTCGCAGCTTGCTTTGTAAGTTTTTCAAGACAAGTACACATTAACTACGGTTCTACTTAGTGCTTAAATTAGCATAGTTTAAGCTGTTTTTCAAATGAAATGTAATTCACTTCATTACTACCATATATAAAGTGCCTACTACGTATCGGGCCCTACCTAGACATTCTGTGTAAGTAACTGAGGCTCCAAAACGCCCATGATTCCCTGGCTGCCCTGCGAATTACTCTATAAATCTGTCTCTGACCTTTAGGGTCTCCGACATCTCTTAAAAACACATTCCCTACATTAGGGGCTCTTTAAAAAAATGTTTGTTAATTATGTGCCATTTCTAGAAAATAAATGGCCAGATTGCTTCTGGGTTCTATTTGGGTGAAAAAGGTAATCCCTTTATTACCTCTATGCTTTTCAAGATCCACATTTTTAATAAGACAGGCCCCTGCCAGCAGGCTCTGTCTTACCAGTGTTTGGTAGAAAAAGAAGTAGGTGTAGCAGGGTGAGTCGGAGGTGAAGGTGGGGGTCAGAGGGGGGGGCGGAGGGAGAAAGGTGAGCAGAGAAAGCCACCTCTCTGCTATGGAGTAACCAGCTGCTGCTCTCCTGTCAACAGGTTACTGGAGAAAGCAGGATTTTCTTGTGACAACTTGAAATCTTGAACTGTTTGATATCTGGCTAAAATCTTTTAACACGGTGCAGGTTTTGGAGTCACAAGACCCAGTTCTCAGTCTAGGCTGTAATATTTCTTAGCAGAGTGGACTCTGTCCATATTGCAGAATGGTGGAGGCTCGAATTTCATCATTTGTGAAAAAGGAGTGTCACCTCTCCCAAGGGCGGTCATGAGAATCCAGTGAAACACTGTATGTAAAAATGGCGAACCAGGAGGCTACGGACAAAGGACGAAGGGGCACTGGAAAACAGTTGCCACCCCTCAGGTGCCTAGCTTCCCTCCCTCCCCTCAGGATCCTTGCCTTCCCGGACATGAAGGACTCCCACTCCAGTCTTCTCTCCCTGCCCTCCCTTCCTAAGACACCTAAACTAGTCCCAAGGTCTCCGGCGACCTCAGCAGCAACGTCACTCACAGAGGGGTAGTCGCTCTTCACGGGCAGTTTAGCCATGTAGCTGTAGGTCTTGTTCTTCTCTATGGGGCAGGTGACGCCGCTCTTACAGCCGTCAGCCTCGGGAATGGCAAAGGCGATCGGGACGCCCATCACGATGCCGTGCACCACGGCTTTGCTCCCTTGGGACTGAGTATCTAAGGGAGAGAGGAAAAAAATACAACCAGACAGTGAAGGAAACAGCCTATTTTCAGACTCTAAATAAAAAGTTCAGATATATTCTCAAGCAACAGCACTGCTATGAGAGCCAATCCTGAAGTCTGCACTTCTCATTTCCCAGGGTCTGTTTCTCTTTGCGGTCATGCTCCGTACCTCTGTGAACGCTGCAGAGCGAGCACTCACCCCAGAAGTTAAAGACATTAATGAATTATGCAAAAAAAAAAAAAAAAAAGATCAGTGCAGGTTGTTTTCTTTGCTCTTAACCCCCACTTCACTGCCTTTCACAGTTTCTCAGGAGAGTCAGAGCTACTTGGATAAATAACTTCATTCAACTAAGTACCTGATTTTTGGCAGTAAACTTTCTATGTAATATTTGCATCAGCTTCTGTCAAAGCGTACTGTGTACCTTAAAGAGTTTCAGGAGACTGGTCTCTGAACTCTCAAATAATCCTGCACGGAGAACTCCACTAGAAATGAAGAGCGAAAGACAAGGCAACATGGAAAGAAGGAATAAGGAACCGAAACAGACACGCCAAGGCCTGTGACAGGAAAGACAGAGGTTAACTGTTTCGAAACTGGAAAAGGTTAGAAAAAGGCACATTTTCTGCCAGCTCTACCCTTCCTAGGACAAGATGGGCAGGAGGAAAAAATAGAACAGAATTAGGACAACCGTGCCCTGACTGGTGTGGCCCAATGGTGTGCGTGCTGGAGTCCTCGGGGAGAGGGCGTATCAGACATTAAACTGATATTACACTTGATCTCAGCCCAAAGGCCAAGAAGCCACGGGCAACTTCTTTCCATCTGGGTTGGCAATTACTTTTGTTAGAAGGTACTTTTTTTTTTAAAGATTTTATTTATTTATTTTTAGAGAGGGAAGGGAGGGAGATAGAGAGAGAGAGAGAAACATCAATGTGCGGTTGCTGGGTGTCATGGCCTGCAACCTAGGCATGTACCCTGATTGGGAATCGAACCTGCGACACTTTAGTTCGCAGCCCACGCTCAATCCACTGAGCTACGCCAGCCAGGGCCAGAGGTACTTTTTTGTTGTTTGGAACAACAAAGAAGCCAGGGTATCACCCAGGAGAAAAATAGGCTTAAGGAGGAGACAGATGATAGGAATTCTGAGATTTCTTATTAGACAGTCCAGTCTCGATCCACAAGATAGAAAATAAGGGAAGGATTCAAGGTAGATGCCCTTTCTAGAAATCAGGGTTTTTCATTTGTCTAGATTCCTGGGAATCTGAAGGTGGTGAATGTGGCACCAGAAAGCAGCAAGTTCCAATAATATTTCTTCCAACTGTAGAAAGTTCTCCAATTTCTTGATTGCTTCTTGGGTCCCTCATGTGTTGCCTAAACCTTACAGAGGCCAAGTATGAATTGCTCTTATACTTTGAGGCAGAACATAGACTTAATAGCTAGAAGGTATATTGCTTAAAATAACACGTTGGAGGAGTTCCAAAGTCTGCAGAATTGGGTTCTGTACTAATAATACTCTGCAGTCTGTAGCTAAACAGAGCTGACATTCCCATAAAAGCCTACTGTGCAATATGGTCCACAATAGGACATGGAGAAGCCAGGCTGTCTTCTCTCACCTGTGAACACATGGAAATCTCTCTCTTGGCTTAAAGGGAGTCTGGACTCTAGGAAACAGGCACATGGGAGCCCCGTATGAGAAGGGGGTCGGAAGGTCTAGCTAATCCTGGCTTCCACAGGTTGGAAGGGAGGTCACAGAATCCTTGACTGCCATTGCCCTCCCCCACACTCCCATGCTCATTCCAATGCTTGAGACTAATGTTACACGTTAAGATGAATCTTAAGGTAGCCCCTTTTACTCACTACTGGTAAAGGTGACGTTGACTGTGTAAGACTGTCCTTTCTGCAGATGGCAGGGCTGGACGGGGCATGGGATCACATTCACTTCCTTTATAACTCCAACTCCGGAACCTGCAGAAGAAGAAAAACGAGTTGAAATCAAAGAAAAAAAATAAACCACTTAGGCTGTCCCTACCTAATGGGAAGACGCTCTGCTCTCCCAATCGCGGTGAGCTCTTTCTCCTCTGACCGTCAGTGGTCTCCAGGACACTGTTCGTATTTGATGGGAAAAGGGGAATTAAGGAAATTATTAAGTACACATAGCCAGCCCCCCACTACTCTACAACCTGGGAGGGCTATACCATGGAAAATCATCCCCACCCCTCCTCCCATCCCCACAGACTTGAAAGCAGCACACATCTCACCCAAGCGATGGCCCAAGGATGGCACAGCCCTCCTCACCATCTTCGAGTCCTGTCCTGGTATCTCTCCACATTAGTGCCCCCAAGCTTTGTGTGCCCCAGCCAAGGAGAACAACTCCAGGCACTCATCTGCAATACTCAGATGTGTGCTCTCCACTTTGCAAACCTGTGTTCTTCAAAATAAGTATCTTTGAGACAGGGTGTGTGTTTGTGTTTTGTGTTTTTTTTTTAATTTCAGTCTAAAAAACAACAGAAGTGCTGTTCACAATAAATGCCCGACCAAAATAGGTTAAATACAAATCTTTCAAAATCCTGTCATCTCATCCAGGCCCCTGACACTGGACAGCTGAAGGGAGAGAACGCAAGTCAACTGTGGTTAACGCTGCCTGTGAGAGGGCCAGCGTAAGCTCTGTGACTCAGCCATCACTGCTGAGAGGTAGACTCTGGGACCTGAGGAAGGCGTTTGAAATCTCACCGGCTCCACTACTGACTGTGTAACCTCAAGGCAAGGTACTTAACCTCTCTGAGAATAGTAATAGTGCCTACTTCACACAGTAGGTGAGCTAATACACACACAGCTCTGAGATAAGTGTTTGGAACATAGTAATGCTCTATAATCGTCTTCCTTCCCCACTGTTTCTCTTTCCATGGTTTCAGTCACCTATGGTCAACTGTGGTCCAAAACGATTAAATGGAAAATTCTAGAACTAAACAATGTGTAAGTTTTTCTTTAGCAATTTGTAAGTTTTAAATTTTGAGTAGTGTGACAAACTCTCACACTATCCCACTCTACCCTGCGGGGACATGACTCATCCTTTGTCCAGCAGGGCACTTAGTAGCTGACGGTGTGGGTAGTACAGTACTTGTATTCTAGTAACTCTTACTTTATTTAATAAAGGCCTCAAAGAACAAGAGTAGTGATACCGGCCACAGAGAAGCCATAAAGTGCTCCCTTTATGTGAAAAGGTACATGTGTACAGGAAAAAACATAGTATATACAGGGTTTGGTACTATCCACAGTTTCAGGAATCCCCTGGGGATCTTCGAACATATTCCCCGTGGATAAAGGGGGGGCTACTGTATAATGTTTGCTCTTATTGTCATCATAGCAGGATTTAGTCCATAAATGTAATCTAGAATAGCTGCTCCTGGGTGGGTAAGCAGGTTCCTTTTGACACTCGAGGTGGGCCTCTCCTCTCGAATACTCTGTGGGGAGACATCGCGGATCCAGCTGACGGACACCACGAGCTCGGCATGACGGAAGGGACTCTGTCTCAAAAGTAGAATGTGTGAAGACAGAGAGCAAGCCTAAGGCTGAGAGCACATGATCTGCTTTGCAGTCAGCAGGTCAGCTCCCTCCTGTAGGTCCTGTAGGATATGAACTGAGAAACTCAGGTGATGTCCTCTGCCTTCTCAGCCTATGCCTGGCGCTCTTGGGTGGAACAGGTTCACCTTACTGACCAACACTGCCGCAGCTAGGTCTGTAAATAAATACTTTGCAGTCTCTTATCCCCAGCTTGCTTCTCCATCATGGCAAAGTTCTCAAACTAGACACTCGACAATTCCCTTCTCTAAGCACTCTGTTCTACTCTGGACTATCTTCACGGACGGGGGGGAGAAAAACATCCAGAAGTTTTTAAGCAACAACCTACTGAAAATCAGTGCTTATGCTAAAGCTTTCCACATCTATCTTCTACCTGCTTCTTTCAAGGCTGGATCACATGATCTAGAAGGAACTGAGTAGAGGGTAGTACTTGTAGCTCCTTCATCCGGTTTTTCGGCTGACGAGAGGTTCTTGGACTTCCAATGTCAACAGAACAAACTCCTCAGTCCTAGCCTGCAAAAACTTGCAAAATCACTTTGCTTGGTCCTATTTCTCACTTGAGGAAATGCCACTCCAGGGAAAACGGGGCACACAAGGGAACTCAAAAAACTTTTGACGTGGGCACTGAATTTTTTACATTGTATTTCCCAATTCAAAAGTAAATTGAAAATCTGTCACCGACACCTGTTTCCAGTAAGTTCTTGCCATGGGTGGGGTGTACAGCTGCTCTTTTCAAACAAGTAGAGAGACATCTGGATTTAGTTTCCTCAAGTTTTTTTTTTTTTTAATGTTATCACTGAAACCGAAAGTGCCTCAAAACACACACTAGTTTTATTAGATGTGAGAACATGGGCAACATACTGTGTGTGCCTATTTGCTCATCTGCAAAACAGACTGCGAGGGCTGAACGAATGAACACAGTGTCTTCATCCAAATGCCGGCCACAAAATTTAATGGAGGGAAAGGCAGTAACCTGAGGCAACAATAATGCCTTTCAAGCGCCAGTCTTCTTGTTCAGTGGAATGCCATTTGTTAAGTACTAATAGGCCAGCAGTCTTTATTCCTTAATCAACCAGTCCCCTAGCCCCCAACTTTGCTTTTGTTTCAACATAAATTTTGAGGACATAGTGGAGAGAGGATTTATTCCCTCATTTACTTTTCCAGTAGATATTTTTGAGCAGTCACTATTACTTGGGAACTAGATATAAAGGAACAAACTTATGCTGGTTCCTGTTCTGCTGTGTGACTTTGGGTAAGTTACCTAACATCTCTGGAATTCGATGACTGATTTCCAAGTTTCCTCCAGCTCACCAATTTTATAAAATTACTTTCATGCTTCTTTCATTTATTATTACACCTCTTCATTTCATAAAAGTTCGGCTGAAACAGTTCTGTAGACTTGACTGAATGAACTCACAATTTCTTCATCCCACTCTTTGTATTTCCCAATAGATTCCAACCACAGCGGCAAAAGGGGATTATGTGTCACAAGCTGCGACCGCAAGCACGAGTTTTATAGATGGGGAAAAAAATCACAAAATTCCATAACCCAACGGAAACGCTATTGAATGAATGATGAAGAGAAGAACTGACTTTTGACCTGCCAGCAAAAGATAAATTAAAAAGAAAAGCAAACAGAGTGGGGAGAGAGAGGTCATCCAAGATACAAGGCAAAAATAAGTTCTGCGCCTCACCCCTCACCCGCCGCGCTGCCTAAGGACCTTCGGTTGTTTGTCCTACAAACTTTAGGAAACTTCAGTAAAAAGTCCATACATCTCCAGGAATGTCCAGGGACCCCAAACACGCGTTCCAAGGACAGACACAAAGTTGTGAGCGGTTGTTTCCTCGAGGCTGGCACATTCTCCCCTACCCGAACCCACTCCACAAGGGGTCCCAAGACTGAGCCTAGCTGTCTACAGGGACCCGCCCAACCTAGATCGGGGTCTCAGCGCGAGGTTCCGGCGGAGGCTCCCGCCGAGAGCGCGAGAACCTCAGATGGGTCTGGGGCTCACCGCAGTCCAGGTAATGCACCGGCTCTGCCAGGGCGGAGGCGCTGAGCGCCAGGAGTAGGATCGCGGCGGTCAAGACATGCATCGCTGCTAAGGAACTTCCAAGCTCGAGGAAGGAAGAAGCGGCCGCCGTAGTCACAAGATAAACCTACCGGGGCGGGGCCGAGGAGGAGCTTAGTCAGGCCGTGGAGCAACAGCACGCAAGGCCAAGACCCGCCCACGTCCCGCCCCCCGCTCCAGTGAGCCAGGCTTCGGTCGGTCGCCGCCCCATCCTGCCCACTCCGCAGCCCCGCGGGATTGGGTACATTTCAGCCCGCCTCTCTCTTTAGTTCTCGGCTTTGTTAGTGCGTCTTCGCTTCGCGCATTGGGAGCATTTCTAGCCAATAAAAATTCCACCGCCTCTCGCATCACCCAATAAGCGCGCTCGGAGGCGGGGTCTCTGTGGGTTCCACCTCCCGAGGCCCAGGTGGAGAAGGGGATTGGGGAGGCGCGAGGGGTGGGGTTTGTGGAGGAAGATGGCGGCCTCCCGGGCCTTATCTTTGAAAGTGGCGGCGCTGAGAGCGGTCACCCCCTGGTGGAACAGCAGGTACCAAGCCTAAAAAGGCACTTGGGGAGTGTGTTACGTTTTGCGCCTTTCAGGACTGGTCCAAAACTAAGGCCAGCGGGGGAGGTGAGGGTGTAGCGTGAGGCTGTCCTGTTGGAGGTCGTCGGGTTTGGTGAGGCAGTGCAGGTGGGGGTCACCAGGTTTGGCGTGAGGGTGTCCAGGTGGGAAGGGTCGCCAGGTGCCCCTCTGCTCGCGGGCTCATCGTCCTCTGCGCGCCGCAGGCTCCTCGCGGCCTCCGCCAGACTTCAGGCGCATCGGGACGTGTCATCCTCCAGCCCCAAGGCTGGCGAAGGGCAGATTCACCTCACCGAGAGCTGTGTCCAGGTGAGAGGGGTGGTGGTGCCCGGACGAGGGCCGGAAGTGCAGGGACCTCCCCTTGGCCCACCTTTCTTCCTTCCTGTGCCTGGCATTCCTGATCCCTTCTTCCTGCATTTCAGAGGCTTCTGGAAATCACCCAAGGGTCAGAATTCCTCAGGCTGGAGGTGGAGGGAGGTGGATGCTCCGGATTCCAATACAAATTTTCACTGGATACAGTTATCAACCCCGACGACAGGCAAGGAGGAAGGGGTGGCTCCTCAGAGAATGTGCGGGAGGGATAAAAGTGTCTCCCGTTTAAGGCGCACTTTTATTCCAAATTTAAAAGGTTTGCTAAGGATGCTTACCCCCCTTCTTACACAGTGGGGGTACAGTGAAGCTTTGTTGTCTAGATTCAAAATAACTAAGTTATTGGAGGAAGATTGGCTGCCTGGGTTATGATTAGGGTTAGGGTCAGGTTCAGGGTCCATAGAGTAGTTGATAGAGTTAGGCTGGACTAGATTCCAGGCCTAAATCTCTAAACATTTTCCAGTATTCATTTCATTGAATCTTTTTGCCTCAAAATCAGCACATTTTGGAGGTAATAGGAATGCATCCTCTATTTCAGAAACCTGAGGATGTGCACCTCTCACACCAGGGCTCAGAGGATGACCTGTTTTTGGTGTTTATGATATTCATTAATGCTTTTCTCCTTTTTTTTTCCCCAGGGTATTTGAACAGGGTGGGGCAAGAGTGGTGGTTGACTCTGATAGCTTGGCTTTCGTGAAAGGGGCCCAGGTGGACTTCAGCCAAGAACTGATCCGAAGCTCATTTCAAGTGTTGAACAACCCTCAAGCGCAGAAAGGCTGCTCCTGTGGGTCATCCTTCTCTATCAAACTTTGATTAGATGACAGGTGACCCAGAGATTCCCACCACCGGTACCAATTTGAGGAACCTGGGTTTCGTAGAATTTTAGTGGTTTCCTTCCAATCATGTTCTTCTCTTAATTTTATTTCCCACGATCCAGGGGTATTTCTCTTATTTTCAGAATGTGAAACTTTTACTCTTGACTTCATTTCTCCTGCACAATTTTAAGGCCGAGGCTCTAGTGGCTATTACCTAAGATTTAATACCTAGCTGAAACCCAGTATAATCTGTAGAGCCCCCAAGGTTCCAAAATTTGAGTTACTTTTCTGGCCTTCAGAGTGGCTTGTATAGCTATGTATAAAAGCTTCATTTTAAAGAAAGTCCTTATTAGCTTGTGTTTTGGGTCAGAGTCTCAGATTAGGTATCTTGAACATTTATCACTAGGCCAGAGGGGATGAGAAAGGCAAACGAAATGTTCTCATTTTCATTTCACCCCTCCTGAATGTGCTGGTTGACTTATCCTTATTGTCTCTGCAGCTCATGCTCCACTAACCATTTGTTAGGGCAGATACATTTTCTTCTTATACTCAGGAATCCACTAAAACCAAAAAACCCCCAAACAGGCTTAACCCTGACTGATACCTGAGTCACTTGAAAAATAGCCTCCATACTTCCACAGACATGTCAAGATTCTGTGATCACTTTGTTACCGAATCTTTTAAGGAGATGTTGCTTTACTTAACGTATGGTGCGAAACATCTCTGGTCTCATACAGAGCAGGAACTTACCTCTTAGTTGGACTAGATAATAGATGCGTAGGGGTTTTCTTTTAGGTTGGATAACCAGATAAAATGCAGGATGCCCAGTTAAATTTGAATTTCAGGTGAACAACAGGTTATTTTTAGTATAATTGTGTCCCAAACATTGTATGATACATACTTACAAAAATTATTTGTTGTTTATCTGAAATTCAAATTTAACTGGGCACCCTGTATTTTTATTTGTTTAAACCTGGCAACTTTAGGGTCACTGAAGGAAAAGCGTTCTAAACCACAAATCCCAGTGATTTTTAAAGCACTTGCTTGGGTTTGGCATTGAAATAGGTTATAGAGTTAGAAAGAGTTGTGTGTGTGTGTGTGTGTGTGGCCGCTGGGGGAGCCGGAACTGCATGGGCATACAGACAGCTGGAAGGCAAGCATGCCACCACCCCGATGAATGATATGCGAACACTGGTGTTGGGGAAACCACATCAGATCGATTCTGGAAGAATTATCAGTTAAATCCATGTTTTCCTCGCAAGCCTAAAAGTTCGTTACAGCAAAAACTGGCATTTCTGGACTGGATGGAAACCCTTCTAGACTAGATTATAATGAAGTCATTAGATAAAATAATTTACCATTAAAAGTGGAAATTAGGAATTTAGGGAGAAAGAATCTAAGAGAGACACACAGATGCTTACATTTTTAACATGGGAAGATCTAGAACTTAGAGAAATCAAACCTATCTTGTGTGTGCAACGTGTACAAAGAGGAAAGGAGGGGACGCTCAGAAACCTGAGCAGATTTCTTAGCAGATTTCCATGGATGGAGGCAGGAACCAGTGTACCGTGAAAGCATCGGTGTGTAACTTCACTGAGACATTGAAAATTGTTGCCAGTAACTGGGCCTAAGACGATTTTCAGCTCACGTTACGTCCTTTCATCCTCCTCAAAAAGACATTTTGCTACATTTTAAGTATTAGAAATATTCTTCCAGAATATTTTTGTGGGTTATTTATTGATACGGGAATTTAAAAACTCACAGTGGGCAGAAGCATAATAGCGCTAGTAGCTGAATAAGCCATTGAATTATAGTCATGAATTAGGCAGGAACAGGCTCCCTTGGAATGCCTACGTGTAATTATTAATGGGAAAAATGGAATTTTGTGTTTGGAAAGGGTAGGTTTGGGAGAAATCACCTTATTTCACACAGAAAGCTTTATGGGAGAACCTGAAGTAACAAGAACTCATCTGCTGCCCTGGCTGGACAGCTCTGCTGGTTAGAACATTATCCCAGTACACCAGGGTTGCGGGTTTGATCCCCAGTCAGGACACACACAAGAATCAACCAATGAATGCGTGAGTAAGTGGAACAACAAATCGATGTTTCTCTTTCCCTTTCTCTTTCTCAAGTCAGTTTTTTTTTAAAAAGTCTCTTCTGTAGGTGGGTGATACAGAAATTTTAGGAACAAATGATGCCATCAAGGTGACAGTAGGCAATTTCCTTGGAATAAACAGTAAGTGACATACAACAGGTTTAGGATCTTTCACAGGCACTTCCTGACCAGACGCCTTCTTCCTGGCAGGCCATAAAAGCAGACATCTTCACAAACGTTGCTCACTGAGCAAATTCACTTAGGAAAACTTTATAGTCTTCCAGTATCAATTGGAAGGGGTGTGTGTGTGTGTGTGTGTGTGTGTGTGTGTTTTGCTTTTAAGGGGAGGTTATCAAGGCCCTGTTTGTTGCAGAATTGATTTTATTTAACTGTATATGCAAACTACCTGGGGCAGCATGCGCCAACCATGTCCCCTCCACTGCCACAGCCATCCACCACCTTTTGCTTTAGCAAAACGTGCAGGAACCAAAGGTAGGGGAGCCCTGGATCTACTTTATATTGCGAATAGCTTTGTGTTGTTGGCTCCGAAGAGGTAGCTTCTTGGTCTACATTCAGATCTTACCTTGTGAAATAACGCTTTAGTTACGTGCTTGGTAGTGACTAGTGGAATGTGAACTCTAGGGGTCCCACCCACCCTTAGTTTCTTTGCATGGTATGTAAGTTATAGGTGTCCAACCCACCCTTCCCGTCTTTCGTGATTAGGGGAAAACAGGCTCAGAGTTAAGATTAGGAAGGACTACTAAAGTAGGTGTCCAAAAAGATACTCTTTTTTTTCTCTTTGCTCTGAGAATTGAGCCCTACTTTTTTGACCGTTTGTTAGAAAGCACCCAAGCAGAGGGTCGCCGTTCAGCAGGAACATCCTGTAGAAGAGAGGGGGCAGCACTGATGGTCACGGCGCAGCTCTCCTTTAAACCTTGGCCCCATCCACTGCAGCATTACTGTGGTTTTGTATGTTTGTCTCAAAGGCAGGAAATGACTTTTCTGGGGGTCTAGGCTTGATGTTTATGATTGCTTTTTAAAAATATCCTCACCAAGAAGATAGGTGTTACTGATTTTAGAGAGAGAAACAAACATCGGTCAGTTGCTTTCTGTATGCACCCCGACCTGGGATCAAGCCTGCAGCCTTTTGGTGTACGGGACTACGTGCTGACCGACCGACTGAGCCAGATTTCTTTTCAAACATCCCTGCCTGCCATTTTCCCATAGGACTGCTTAAGGGAAGTTTGCTTTGAGAAGTTTTGAAGGAATGGTCATCTGGTTTTAATTGAAAATATAGTCAGGTACATATATAAAGAGAAGGAAGGAACATTTAAGTAGTCTATAGCCAGCAGGTGTATTTAAAAATATTTTATTTTTTTAATAGATCATACATACGATACACAATTCCAAGAGGCACGAGAGGGGATACAGTGAAAAAGGGTCCAAATCCTGTATCCATCCACCCTGTCACCCTCCCCACAAATCACCATTGTTTCTAAGAATTTAGCCTACAGGCATAATCCCATAGATACAACATGAAATAACATTTGCACAAGAATATTGATTATAGCATTACTTTTAATAGTAAAAAATAGGAAACAATGGAAATGTCCACCAGTAGGGAACTGATTAAATAAATTACGATTTACCCATCCAATGGAAGAGTACACATTTATAAAATAGAATAAGCTCTTATGTGCAAGTATGAAGCAAAAAAAAGCAAGGGTAGAACAGCATGCATAGTATGCTGTTTGTAATGCATGGAAATACATGTATGTGCATGAAGTATCTCTGCAAGAGCAGACAAGGCGAGGGTGAGGAGGAGGGCAATGGAGCAGCATGTAATAAAGCCCAGAGTCGGTGCTGGCCGGGTGGTTCAGTGGGTTAGAGCGCCATCCGGTTGCGGGTTAGATCCCAGGTCAGGGCACATACAAGAAGTAACCGATGAATGCATAAATAAGTGGAACAACAAATTGATGTTTCTCTCTCCCTCTCTCTAAAGCCAATTGAAAAATGGGAAGAACGTGCGGTGCTAACAGGGCCTGTTGAGGAACAGGAGGACGTCCTCTGAAATGATGGGGGGTGAGGTGGAGTTGGTGGGTGTCCGATTCTCCCCCCCCCCTTTCTTTGGACGAGTGGCAGCACGTGTCTCACTGCGTTGTGCAGCCCTCCTTCCCCTCCATCCGTGTGGAAGGCATCGAGAGCCACTTTTTATTTTTCTGTTTAGGGCTCCATAGCAATTAATTGTAATGTTTTGCTATTACAAATAATGCTATAATAAATAACCTCTTACATATGTCATTTCACATTTGGGGAGAATATAGCTGAAGATTAAATCCCTAGAAGTATAGTTACTGATTTGAAGAGTAAGTGATTTTGAAAGACATTTTCATACCCTCTTCAGAAGACCTCTGTCGACTATATTTGTGAGTGCCTCTTTCTACAGATGCTTGCCAGCCGACAATTAAAGTGTCTCAGTGTGGTTTAACGTGCATTTCTTTTATTTTGAAGGTCAGAATATTTTCATATGTTTAAGAACTGTATATTTTTGTCTGCTGAAAACATTTCAACTAGTACAGTGACCTAGAACAAATTATTGAAGCTTCGTGTGTTTCCGTTTCTCATCTCTAAGTTGGAATAAAAATGATACATGGGATTGCTGGATGCCTATGTGAAATCTGTGTAGCACTCAGTACTGCCTAGCACAGGGTAAGTGTTCAGCGAGTTCCTGTGTGGCGGCTGGCACTCAGCAGCAGGAAGGACAGGGCAGATTCAGTGAAGAAAAGAGCATTCACTCCCTTGTTCATTTGCATTGCTGTCCGAGGGTACAGAGTCAGAGCTTTCCTTGACTTAGCAGAGTAAAGAGCCTTTTCCTGGGAGAACCCAATCAAAGGCCATTGGCAGCGCTGGCCAGGAGTGGACACAGCCTCCGCTCTAGTACTCTGACTCAGCCAAAGTGGTGAAGAAATTGGGTTTAATGTGGAACAGAAAAGAGCCCAGATCTACATTTCTTTGTTCTACTGTGGGTCTAAATTCCCAGCTCGCCGCGGTTGGAGATGGTCTCTACTTGCAGACTCAGAGAATGCCAGCCAGCCACTTCATGAAGGGGGGAGGGCAGAGGCTTCTGAGTAGAGAGCACAAGCAGCACAGGAAATCTAGCTCCCCCCAAAACAAGACTCCACTGGATTGCACAAGCTAGAAAATAGACCTCTTTATTTTTAGCACATCAAACTGGTGTCCGCAAGAGGAGAGCCCAGGAGAAATTTATTTCCCGTAAGAAGCAGTGTGTACTTCATTCAGGTCTCGGGAGATGGGGGCTGTGTCTGTGGCAGCCCTGTGTTTAGGAGCTGCCGCTGGGGATGTTGGGGATGTTCATTCACTCGAAGGTTCTGAGTGTTTTCTTTAGACTTGCGTAAAGCCCTGGCTCCCCCTGTTTTAAAAATCAATTTCCCCTATTAATGGTCGCCCTCTTGCTTCTCGGGGTCCTTGCTCCCCTTCACGTGTGTCTCTCACGCTCAGCAGTCCAGTTTTAGTCTTGCTCCTCCTAGATGAGGGGACCTCCACCCCTCCCTGGGGCCACAGAAGTGGCTGCAAGATGACGTGGCAAAATCCGGTCCAGACCAGATTGGCAGGGATGGCTTTGGGAGGAGGCGTTGGCGTCACTCCCCGGATTTCCTCCCATCCTTTTCTGCTCCACAGCGTCTGAAGGACCACCCCAGGACAGACGTAGGCTGTGCCCCGGTTTTGGAACCATCAGGGTGACGTGAGTCATGGCTAGAAAAGGGTGTCTGCAGTGCAAGGCTGAAGGACCTCGCGTGTTTGCACGGCTGGAGGGGGAAACAAGGGCCATCCTTCGGTAGGCATCCCACAGCGAGGCCAGGGCAGATGGCGGACTGGGCCTCATGGCCAGCGGCTGAAGCATTAAAGCATTTGGTGGTGGTTGAGCCAAGCAAGGGCATGGCAGCACGGAGGCAGTGACAAGCTCACAGCCAGAGCCTAGGCTGGGACAGATGAAAAGCAGGCAAGGCTGGCTGGGAGAGGGGCTGCAGAGCCTCCTGTGGATGTCTTCGTGGTGTCTTCCCAGCTAGAGAAGCGTCCTCCAGGGCCCCGCCGGAGCCCATTTCCAGATAGCTGCCCACACTGACTCCTCACTGCTACTCCTTGGCAGTGCAGCGGGGCGGCCCTGACTCGGCCACATAACCTGGGGGGCAGCGGCAGCGGTAGGAGCCCTCCGTGTTCTCGCAGTGACCATGGGCACAGAGTGCAGCAGGCCCGTTCAAGTCCTCACACTCATTCACATCTACAAGGAAGGAAAGCAGGAGAGATCTGGTGGGGGCCCAAGGGCCTGTGGCCTGGTGCTTCTGGCCCTCTGCTCACTGGCCCCAGCCCTGCAGTGGAATCGTAGGCATGGCAGCCAGAGGCTGATGTCACTGCCCCAAACTGAGCAACTCGAGGACACAAAGCAGGTGGTAGCAAGCCCATGCATAGTGTGCCCAGGAGAGTGACTGTACTCTTGTCCCTGCTTTTTCTCTTTCTAGGCACCTCCATGGAAAGGCTCATCACAGCACCCGACCTTCCTTTGGAGCTTTCTCACCCCGTGAGCTGGCCCTGGGCAGCCTCCCCGTGGGGCCGCCGTGGGTTTCCCAGCGACCCTCAATTTGGTCGTACATCTTTAAAGTGAGCCATGGGCCAGTCTGGCTTTTCTGCACGGAGCCACCGGGGCCAGAGTGCTCCTGCATTGCCACTCGGACCCGGAACTCACCCACACAGGCCATGTGGGCCATGTCCAGGTGGAAGCCCTCAAAGCAGTCACAGGTGTAGCCCTCCTGCACACGCACGCAGCGGCCGTTCTCACAGCCGTTCAGGACCCCGCACTCCTCCGCCTGAAGCCCCTCGAAGCCGGCCTGGTGTTCTGGTGGGAGGAAGTCAGGGAGAGAAGGAAGCTGGGGCGTCCCCGAGGCTGGACCCTCACCCTGCACTGCAAAGGGTTGGCCCTGTTCAGTTGCCCCGGTGGGGCCGGGCACGGTCATCAAACTCACAAAAAGATGCAAAAACAAAAGGCAATACTGTTTAAAAGAGTCATTTTAGGTAAGGTAGACCTTCACATGAGACCTTTAAATGAGGCCTCCAAAAGGGTTGCAATTCACTGCTTTCCTGAGGCCGGAGCCCCTGAGCAGTGGGGTGTCCTTACAGTTCTGGTTTTGTGGTTGGTGGGAGGGTGTTTGGTTAAAATTTTCCTTTTTTTTTTTTTGCTGGGAGGAGGTTGACAGCAAAAGTGGGTTTACCCTCACTCAACACAAAGCAAAACTACCAGGCCTGTCCAACCCTCTTCCCTGCCTAAGCCAGGCCCCAGCCCTGGAGGGGCCCCCACCCCGACCACTCCCAGGGCGGTCAGTCTGCGTCAGTCTGAGTGGGTGGCTGTGCCTGCGGTGGGTACGTGGCGCAGGTGCCAGCCCTGACTTCCCCCTTAGAGTCTGAGGCCAGAGTGCTGGGATCATTGCTCCTGTCAAACCAAGTCCCCACAGCGGGCCTGTGAAATGGTCACAGGTCCCTGATTAGCGTTCCAGGTCACCAGCTGGAACTGCAGAGCAGGTCGTTCTGCACACCCCACGCGGCGAGGGAGCTGAGCCGGGCACCGAGTGGGCCTGTGTCCTCCGCCGCCGTCTCCCATCTCCACTGGCGCCCACAGGGGCTCTCTGGGGGTGGGGACGGTGGTGTCCCGAACCCCCTCGTGCCCTGTGCTAGTCTGTCAGAGGGAGTTGTGAGAGTCTGACGTGGGCATTTGGAGCTGTCCCTTCCCTTGAGTGACCCGGGGAGAGGGCTTGGTATATCTCTCCTCTCCCCCCTCCTCGCCCTGCTGGCAGGGACTGGCAGGTGGGGGAGATGGAAGTGAAGCAGCTTTGGTGCCCGCCTTGTCCCACTTTTACAGCAACACAGACCTGGGTGGCTGGCCACGTAGTGGGGCTGGAGTTCTGAAGGCGGCAGGGGAGACTCAGGGCCTGGGGTACGGTCCCCTGGGTGGCTGGCTGTGTTGGGGAAGGGCGGCTCGGGGACGGCGTCCTCGGGGCCCAGGTAGTTGTAGAAGGGGGCCCCATCTGGGCCATAGAGACTGTACTGCAGGTCCTCGGGCCCGGGGCCATACTCGTAGCCTGGCCGGAAGTGGACCCCGGCCTCCCGCTCTGCTTCGATCCGGGCCACGTTGCACAGCTGAGCGTAGACCTCTGTCGGGGAGCAGGGAGAGGGTGCAGGCTGGGACTGCCGCCCTCTGGGAGTTCCAGCAGTGCTGCTGTCCCCACCTTGCCCCACAGCCTGCCCTACTTGGGCCCCAGACAACAGGGACTGAAGACAGGGCCGCCCTTTTCCTCTCTGAGTCTCCTCTTCCAAGGTGAGCGAGCGCATTGTCTACACTGAGGCCCAGCCCTGCTAGGAGGTGTCCCCCCTCACTCCCACAGGCATGGCCCGCACCAGAGCTCCTGGGGGGGCACAGCGCACACTGCTGGCTCCAGGCCTCGCCGTCCTGGCAGCAGCACTCTGTGTAGGTGGTGCGGTGCCCGTGCAGGGGTTGGCTGCACACGTAATTGGTGACTTTTTTCCAGCAGATGTCCATGTGGATGTCGTGGTCGGGCAGGTCCTCTGGTGGCAGAGACACGGGCATGTGAGCGCCACCCCCAGTCCAGGCCCGCCCCCCGCCCTGCCACCCCAGGCCCACCGACCCGTGCCGCCGGTGCTGTTAACGCAGCGCTGCCGGCTGAGGTCCAGGGTGAGGGGCGGGCTGCAGAAGCAGTGGAAGGAGCCTTCCGTGTTCACGCACTCGCCGTTCTCACAGGCCATGTCCTGGCACTCGTCGTGATCTGTGGTGGCGGGAAGAGGGGAGGGGTGCGTGGGGCAGCGCCAAGGAGGCTGGCCCACGGACCCCTTCGTGGACAGGGTTTGCGTGTAACTGATCACGAAGACCCAGCACCTGCTTCCCCTCCCCTGCCCCAGCCAAGCCCCAGAGGCCCCTCCTGGGGCCGCTTTTCCAACAGGTCCCCAGGGCTCCCCTCACCTCAGCCCCGCCTGCTGCAGCTGGCCTCTGTCCCCGGAAGGGCAACTCCCAACAAGAAAGGGCCGGCTGGCAGGGCTGGGCGAGCACTCAGCTGTGGGCCCGGGGTGGGGAGGGCCGGAGTGTGTCCTCACCCTCACACTTCCTGCCGGCGGCATCGTAGTGGTAGCCGGGATTGCACAGGCAGATGTAGCCAGGAACCGTGTTGAGGCAGCGGCCGTTCTGGCAGAGACTGGGCCCGAACATGGCGCACTCGTCAGCATCTGCGGGAAGGCCAGAAGCAGCGTGAGGCCGGACCCGAGGCTCGGGACTGTGAAGCCGGACTTGCTGGGTTGGAATCCTGGCCCCGACACCTGCTAGTTGGGTGACTCCGGGCCACTTGTTTAAGTTCTCCTTGCCTCAGTTTTCTACCTAAAAAAATGTAGATATGACTACTTAACTTCTTACAGTTATGATGAGGATTAAAAGATTAGTACATGCAAGATGCTTAAAATAGTGCTGGGCACAGAGCAAGCACTTCAGTCAGGAAAGCTACTTCATTTTCTGTTATTTCCTTCTCCAGCTTTCGGATCAGGGTGCTCAGGCCTGAACTACCCACTTTGAGTGCAGGCCCC